CCAGAGTACTACCAGTCAGAGGAGCTGAGCCTTTGGGAACATTGTGATGCATCTGAACAACCAGATGCTGATCAACCCACTACTGGGTGGCACACAGTGTTAATAGTAACTTGTTACAGCATCAAAGGGTGCTAGTTGCTTTAATATATGCAAAGTACATGTCTGATCCAAAAAATGAGCTCGGAAAGGACCACAAACCAGTTTTAAGCTTACTGCTCATCAGAGCTGCTTCATTTTATGCTGCGGTGCTATTTATCCGAGTTGAAAGTAAATGAGTACATGTCTTGATTCCTGGTTATTGCTTTTATGCCACTTAGTATCCACAGTGGACATCAGCTGTCTTTTACAGTCATTTCAACAAAGGAGAAAATGTGCCCCTCTGTGTAGCACATGTACTCCGAAGGTGACTGTTAAGGAAGCACCTGCCGTGCTGATCTGAAGAGTGCCGGGAGGTTTTTGTACTGGTTTGTATCACTGTGAGAGGTGCACCATAATTCTGCTGACAGTAATAATCTCCAGCATCTTCAGCTTGTACACTGCTGATGGTGAGAGTGAAATCTGTTCCAGACCCACTGCCGCTGAACCGGGCCGGGACTCCCGGTTGCCGTGTGGAAGCAAAAGTGATGATGAGTTTAGGAGCTTGTCCAGGTTTCTGCTGGTACCAGCCTAGGAACTCCTTTCCTGCAGATGTGAGGCTGGAGCTGCATTTGCATTTGATGGTGACTGTGTCTCCCAGGGATGGTGCCAGGGACTCTGGAGTCTGGGTCATCACACGGTCTCCACTTGAACCTGAAAGGGAAAAACAGAATATAGTTACATGGATGCATTGTACTGTACCCTTTTATAAAAAGCCCTCTGGGATGACATTTTCAGCTCAAGGCAGCCACGTGTTCATTCAGGGACTTCCTGAAAATCCACTGCAGTCAGTGGACTCCCATCTACCTCTGTGGGCTTGACATCAGGCCCAAATACCTAAAAGAAGAAGGTCTTTTTCTCTTTAGTGGCAGCACAGGCAGCTTGAGGTTAGTGGAGACTAGTAAGGATTTGTCAGGCGGAGGCTCTAGACCGTTAGCTTCTTTTTGCAAGAGACCTTTACTGGCAATGAAGCCAGTTCCCTCTTGGTGTGCTCCTTACCATGGATGCAGAGCAGTAACAGCCAGAGGAGTGGAGCCTGCGAGATCATCTTGGTATGCATGACTGGCCCAAAGCTGATCTGCAGGGTGTAACGAGTGATGCAGGAGGCTTTAAAGGAGCTCTAAGCAGCACAGGGGATGTCTCATGAGCATGAAGTATGCAAATGTAGGTTAGCTACGAGAACCCTGCTCTGATCCTAATGTGTAGGGGCCAGATGGCCGGGGTATCAGAGGACAAGTCCAACCTGTCAGGGCCACCAGCTGCTCCCTTACTCCTCACCTAGCTCTGGATGAGCTGTGGTGCTCCTCTTACTACCTGTTTGTTTTGTGGTCATGCCCAGCTGGTCCAGTTGGGATCAGAGCTCCATTGTGGGAGATGCCAGCCAAACTCACAGAAGCATGCAGGCTTTGCTTTGCATGTTGTATTTTACTGGCATTTCCCAACTGTAAATGGGCTGAAGATAGGTAGATGTCAGGTTTGACTGGGAGCGTTGATCCCTGGTCATTTCCAATGCTGGATTCTAGTTTAAAGGTAATGTACTTAGTCTCACTACTGTGCTTGAAATCTCCCTGTTGATAAGAAGTTTCGGGCATGGCTCTCACTGCCATTTTTCAGTGTGGGGATGCTGATGCATGTGATGCTGGAGTGCAGTAATTACCACACTCCAGCAGACTTGATTGAGTCTGCTCTGATTCTCTGCAGGGCAGCCTCCCTGCATTTATATAGGAGCTCATAGTTGCCCTTGCTGCAGCTTGAGACCACTGCTCCTTGTTCTGTCATCTGTCATCACTGAGAACAGTCCAGCTCCATCCTCTTTCGAACCCCACTACAGGTAGTTGAAGGCGGCTATTACCATACCATTTAGAACATTAAAAAGGATTTCAAAATGAAATATTTCCTAAGTTCAAAACAATATATTATGGCCATAACAAAGTTGAACTAAAATAGTTCATTATATTATTGAATCCTATAAAATTCCATTTATTTTTCTGCAAATCTACAGCTAAAATTTCAAGAAAATGGTTCTGATGGAAAACACTTGAATGGAAACATGGTTGACCAAGTCTAGCTATAAGCATATGGTTCAGCATGGACAGCTAAAATGTTTTGAATATATAGCTATATGTTTTTAACTTGTACATAAGGTGGTAGGTTGCAATTTAAAATGTATGAGTTTAAACTTTAGAAACTACCGTTTACACCCATGAGACCAGGAGAGTGAAGTCAGGGCAGGGCACACTGAGTATGTAGCAAAACCCCCAGTTTTTTGGGTTTTTTTTTTTAATGCATTCCCTCCCTTTCCCCAACCATTTCTGACTTTTTCTTTCCCCCTCTATTCCCTATAGATAAGTATAAGTGAGCTAAGACATAGAATAAGCTTCAGCATTTTATTTTGGTGGCAAGTTGTATTTGTTTTGTTTTTTCTCCTTCTTTACATTGTATAATTATTATGTTTATATTGATTTTTTTTCACTGTTCTATATTACTGTTTTACTGGTACTATATGATTTAGGCCTACATATCCAAGTAAGCTTAAGTAATGTCAAGTTCCATGTTGTTTGACAAGTCTCCATCCTGTCCCCAGGCCCAGTTGGGTAACCCATGACTTACAACTACCCCTTCTATGTAACTTGGTTCCTGAATGAATGGGGATGAATGAGGGTGCTTGAGGGACAATGGCAGTACATCTACAGATAGCTCCCTCTGAATGACCAAACTATCAACACCAATACCTGGACCAACGACCTAGCCCGTGGAACCACCCTCAGCATTCAAGAAACAAAAGATGAGGCAACCTACCATTGGGCCAGGCTGCACATGCTCAGTAAGAACACCTGGAGCCCTCTGGGACAGAACTGACATTGCCTGGACAGGCCCTCCCCACAGGAGATCAGAGGTAGTCTGCCCCATAAAAGGGGTAGTGAAGACTGACTCCTTGGGATGTCCTCTCCATCTGGACCAGCAGCATGCCAAACAACCTACCCACCCAGAGGCCCTGCTGGCGACCCCCGCTCTGGACAACACCTGCTGGACAAGGACCCCTTTCCAGCCTGGATAGGTAGCTATCACCCCCCACCCTCTTCAACCAAGGACTTGGACTTTGCTTCTTTCCCCTACTTGGGCTCCAGCCCTTCCACTGAGTCTCTTTCTCCTGCTGACATTTTGAGAGTGTGTGTGTGTGTGTGTGTGTGTGTGTGTGTGTGTGTGAACCAATAACTTCATGGAGCTGTGTAGTGTGTTGTCTGTTTAATACACCTGTTGTTTTGAAATCCTGAGTTGGGTTTTTGTCTGTTTCCTGACTGTTTCTTCCTTGCCACCACTTATCTGCCCACCCCAGTCTCTAAGCTGTTAGTCTGTTTCCAAGCTCCCAGCTTTCTGCCTCTCTCTCTCTCTTTCCTGGCTGTCTCCTCCTTGCTGCCACTTATCTGTGCCCCCCCCTTCCCCTATATCTCAGCTGTCTGCCAGCTGTCCAGCCCCAATCTACCTTAAGTAAACCCAAGCCTCAGTTCCTCAGTCAGCTTCTCTCTAGTCCACCAGTTCTGGCAACTTTCACTCTCTCTCTCTTATCTTAACCTACCCCCAAATATCCCAGGTACCCCATGCACACACATACACACTGTCCCATCCAAGTTAGGAACTTACCTATGTGTAGGTGGGTGTTGTGTGCATGTCATTGTGTGTATGATATATGAATTGGTGATATGTGTACTGAGTGTGTGGGTATGGACAATTGATTTTGTCTAGCTTTTGGGGTGTATAGTGTATGTGCTTGAATTGGTGATAGGTATGCATGTGCCTAGGCTGGTTTAGATGTGTATGTGCCTAAGCAGATAGTGTGTGTGTGTGTGTGTGTGTGTGTGTGTATGCATCTAATTGATTTGTGTGTTTGTATATGTGCAATTATGTCACACCCTCCTGTCTAACAGTGCAATATTGAGATCCTAAGAGTTGGCCTGACCCCCCAGGGCAACAAGTATACATCAGGCTTATGGTCCTGGGAAAGCGCTGTAGAGAAGGGATGTTGAGACGGGACAGGATTATGTTGCTAAGAGGCCAAGGAGATCAAAGCCACCTCCAGGCTTCGAGCTTCATAGGGTTTTGGTCTCCTGGAAACATCAACAGGATTTCTGGAGCTGGAGTAACTAGTGTCCCTGGTGTAGTCTTGTTGCTCCCAAATGATATCTCACTAACTCTTGAGTGGCAAAGATATGCTGGCTGTAGTCTGCAGTGAAGACCTGGTTTTGGCAGTTATCTGAGTACATCCCAAATGAGAGATCCTGATCTGAGCCACAGAAGCACTAAACCACAACACTGATGCACATGGGTTGTCAGGCCAGGTGGAATATATACAACTCTCCAATCAACATACCCAAGGCAGACCTATTGTGAGACATGCATCCTGTGGGCTGCAGTGAAGCCCCACAAACCGTGGGGTGTCCCAACCTTTGATCCTTGCATACTGCTCTTAAAACAACTGGGCCATTAACTAGGGGACCAGCGGGTGAATGTTAGGGACCAGGGCATGGGCAGTCTGGCCTCGTAGCGGGTCTCCTGAAGCATGGATGACATTGAGGCAGAGTTCCTGGGGACCGATGGGTTCGATGTCAAAACTGGAAAAGGAGGATTATCCAGAGTTGGGACTGAAATCAGGGGCCAAGAGTCAAAGCCAGAGAGCTGATAAGAGAAAGCCAGGAAGACACCGAGAACTGCAGCAAGTACATCTGTTTGCTCGGACAAGGAGACTGTGGGCTGGGCCTGGCTTTTTAAGGGCAGGAGTGGTTGGGGTGACTGCCTGTGGTCCCAGGGAATGGGCTGCCCTGATTGCCTTGTTCAGCCCAGCTGGGCCCAGGCTTGCTTAGGGAGAGGGGAGAGAGGAGGGAAATCTCATTGACAAGGAACCCAGAGCAGTGGCCAACCCTCCATGATAAAGCCACACACCCCCTTGGTCTCCCAGTGCCTTCCCTCCCCTCCTTTCCTTCCAGACATGATTGACTAAGTATAAAAGAAGAAATACTCCGAGGAAAGCAAGTATTTATGTTCTTGAGGTGCAGTCAGCCTGCTGGAAGAAACTCATAGCAGGGTGAGAGATGCAGAGACCAGTCCCACAGGGTAGAAAAGGGAGACCCAAGTAAAGCAACTCCTACCACAACCTCTCCGAGATGAAACAATACCCCATCTTCTGCCCCTTCCCCTCTCCAAAGGGTCCATGCCCCTATTCCTTCTTGCATGGATCGGAGAGAGGGTATGTGTGGCTCCCTGTTACCTTGCTAATGGCATTCAATGCATCTGCCGTGTTGGGTGACGAGAGCATTGTGGACTTTTCTGTTGCTGCCTCTGCAGCCGTCCCAACCAAGAGCCAGCCCTCTCTCCAGCAGCGCCGCTTGCAAAGCCCCAGGCTGGCCCTGCCTGCCACGGTGTTGGTGGCATGGGGAGGAAAAGGAATTGCTTGGTTTTCAGGGTGAAAATAAATGTTATGCTAGAAGAAGAAATGATCCCCTAGTTCAGGCGGGCTGAAAAGTCTGAGAAGCAAACTCCCCTGGACTGCGCACCTGGGCTGATCTGTCCTGCAGGCTGGGCAGCAGGGGCAGCGTGATGGTATCTGTGGCTCAACAAGTGACGTGTTTCGGTCCCAGGGAAACCCCGGAGCTGGTATTGAGTGTAGCAGTTGTGCCGATCACGTGTCTCTTCAGGAAGCAGCTGTGGTGCTGGGCTGTGCATCGCAGCAGGTTTTTGTATGGGTTTGTATCACTGTGTGAGGACCACTGCGGGTCTGCTGACAATAATAATCTCCGTCATCTTCAGCTTCAACACTGCTGATAGTGAGAGTGAAATCAGTGCCAGAGCCACTGCCGCTGAACCGGGCTGGGACTCCTGACTGCCGTGTGGAAGCATCATAGATGAGGAGCTTTGGAGCTTGCCCGGGTTTCTGTTGGTACCAGTGTAAGAGCTGATAGGTACTCCCAGAGCTACTATAAGTAAGGCTGGAGCTGGCTTTGCACTTGATGGTCACTCGATCTCCTGGAGACACCGCCAGGGACTCTGGGGTCTGAGTCAGCACAATCTGCCCGGAGGAACCTAGAAGTAAAAAGAAAAAAAACCACAAAACCCCCATAAGTTCAATTAACATAGTGCCTCCAGCAAGCCAAATAACCCGTCTGATTAGACAATCTGGATGCTCTAGCAATGTTCTTTGTGCGCGTTATTACAGAATTAAGTGAGTTTGTGTCCTGGCTGAAATGCTAACATGCAGCCAGAAGTGCTTCTTTGCTTGCAGCCCTTTCTTCTTTGCTCATCTAGGTTACAGCCTCAGCCCCTAGAAATCCCCAGAAAAACTTCTGGTC